ATTTCATATGTCACGTTATAACTTTGAGGCTAGAACTTAATTAGTTTATACACCATGTTCATAAAGGGAATGGAGCGAATTTAATTTTTACACGGACATTTATGTATTGAGAAAGCCACAGAGTAAGTACAGAATAATATCTTTTCTAGATTTCTAGTTACAGACTTTTCTTCATCAGTGTAACATGTTCTTAATAAGGCCACATGAAAAATTTTCAATTGGCCTCACATCACAGTGTTTTTTTAAAAGAATGTGTCATATTATAACTTAAGTGATGTGTTTTAGAGCGCCTGGAGTCTAACCAAGCAAGAAAAGCTGCGGTTCAGTTGTCCTAGTTGTATGTAGACCTATTTGGATCACCATCCCAGGACTTGAAATTATTGTTTTTTTAGAATGCAGCAAACGTTGAAGTTCTATTTTGAGAACTTTTTGTCAAAAAATATTATTTTCATAAATTATTCTATTTATTTTAAACATTTTTTATTGATGGCCTTATTAGGAGCATAGTGGTACAAATAAGGCCAATGGCAAGGGTCTTTGTTTTACGCAAAAACCACCACTTATATGTAAAAATAAATAAATTGGGGTTAATATTCAAGTAATAGAAGCGAAACACTTCACATATAAGCTCGTGAATTTTGTCGGCTTTGGTGGATAGTGTTCAGAAAAAATAAAATTTCTTAACATGGCCTTATTTGGGACAGGTACCTTATATCGGATCTTTTTTTCTGTTATTGGATTTTTTTTTCTATATTTTGGATTTTTTTTCCATATGTCGGATTTGTTTCCTATATTTTGGATTTTTTTTCTAAATTTTGGATTTTTTTTCTATATATCGGATATTTTTTCTATATTTTGGATTTTTTTTCTATACCGGGTGACAATGAAATTACTACCCATGGCGGCATTTCTTAACGGCTCGAGATAGAAATATGCAACTCGGTTTGTTGATAGGGTTGAAAATTTTGAACAATTTTAATATAAAAACAATTGAATGTCTTTTCCGGTTTTACCGGGATTGGCAGTTTTTACGTAAAATACGCACAAATAGGAATTACGACATATTTTTGAGCGACTCTATTTAAAAAACTATCAATTTTTGACATACGGTATGATAGACAAAAGTTATTTAAAATTGTTCAGAGAGTCCAAAAAAAAGATAATATACAGGGTGTCCCATTTAAAATAACAAAGTCAATGCCATATCCGGTGAAACCGGAAAAGACATTCAATTGTTTTTATATTAAAATTGTTCACAATGTTCAACCCTATCAACAAACCGAGTTGCATATTTCTATCTCGAGCCGTTAAGAAATACCGCCCTGGGTAGTAATTCCATTGTCACCCGGTATATCGGATATTTTTCCTATATATCGTTTTTTTTTCTTCTATACATTGAAGTTTTTTTCTATATTTTGGATTTTTTTTCTATATATCGGATTTTTTTCCTATTTATCGGATCTTTTTTTCTATTGGACTTTTTTTCTATATTTCGGATTTTTTTTCTATATGTCGGATTTTTTTTTCTATATATTGGATTTTTTTTTCTATATTTTGGATTTTTTTCCTATATATAGGATTTTTTTCCTATGTATAGGATTTTTTTTCTATATTTCGAATTTTTTGTCCGATATGTGGGAAAAAATAATAATTTAATAATAGTTTCATTGACACCAGGATGCTTTCGTACAAATTGCCTAAAAGGATATTGAAAAATTTCTTAAATTAAAAAAAAAAATGACAAATTATTTAAAAAAAACTGAGTTTAAAATTTTTTTTAAAATGAAAAAAACTAACAATTGATAAATTGGGTGGTATGAATAAAAATGAAGTACTTGCTACTGCTAGAAGTATTAGTATGTTCTACGTAGTATTTACTTCAAAACGACGTAGATACTACATTTCGAAACGACCAAAATGTAGTATCTACTTCGTTTTGAAGTAAATACTACGTAGAACATACTAATACTTGTAGTAGTAGCAAGTACTTCGTTTTTATTCATACCACCCATTGTCTAAAAAAAAAATTGACAAGTGGTAAATTCTTAAAAAAAAAAACTGACAAAATGTCCCGGTAAAAGTTGACACAGTGTCAAAATTGACCAAAAAAAACTGACATTGAAAAAATTTTTAAAAAATAAAATTGACAAAGTGTCCCTGTGAAAACTGATATTTTCTCAAATTGTTGCATTAAAAAAATTACAGTATCAAACTGCTCAATAAAAAAAAAAAAAACTGATTTGGACAATTTTTCAAAACTGACAAAATTGACATTCTGTCAAATTATCCAAACAAAAAATTGAGTTAAAAAAAAAACTGACATTGAAAAAAAAGGCAAAGTGTCAAACTACTTAATAGAAAAAAAACGGATTTGGACAATTTTTCAAAACATTGACCAAATTGACATTGTGTCAAATTTTCTAAAAAAAAATTGACATTGAAAAAGAAAAATTTGACAGTTGACATTTCTTGATGAAAAAAACAAAAAAGTGATCAAACATTGACAAAACTGACTAATTGTTGAAGAAAAAAAAACTGTGCAGTTTTTTCTTTCGATTTTTTTTTTTTCTAATTATGAATAAAATGTTATTTTTTTTATTGAAAAAAGTTGCGAAAATTGATTCACTCTGGAAAAAGTAATTGTCTATAAAAAAACTGACATAGTTAAGTCATCAAGTGTGATTCACGTGAAAACTGGCACTGAAAAAAAAAGTCAATTTGACATTTGGTGAACTTTTTGCGGGTTTTTTCTTACTTTTTGAATATTTTGAAGTTTTATTAATTTTTCTTACTTTTTTGAATTCTTGATTTTTTATAATTTTTTTGACTTTTTATTGAACATTTTTGGGAAGAGCGTTGCACTGGAAATGCGAGGGTCCTGGGGGGTTCAAATCCTTGTCGAGGCAAGAATTTTTTTTATCAATTTTAATTAATACGTCTGCATGCAACTAAAATTAAACCACAACACACTGTAAACTTTAGAGTACAAGAGTGTAATTGGCTTTGGCTGAAGGTACCTTTAGTAGAATTTTGCTTGGTTATTTTAGAACAATTTCAAAATTCTAAATTGAATCCTACCTAATTTAGAACTCGAAACTTTTTAGAACTTTTTTAAACCAATTTAGAACACTTTAGAATTTCAATAGGGCTCTGAAATACGTAAAAATCGAAACGTCGCAGTGAAAATATGTGAACGCCATTTTGTTGAGCCTAAAATGTGACAAGGAAAAGTGTTTTTTCTAATTTTTTGATCTGTCAAAATACTGTCAGATATAAATTAAATCCAAAATCGAAAAAATAGCTATTTTCCTAACGAGTGCGGGAAGAGAAATTTTCGGCACGAGGGTGTGTAGCGCCCGAGTGCCGGAAATTTTTTCCCGCAAGAGTTGGGAACTATATTTTTTCTACGAGCATACTAAAGCTGATGTTACGAAGAGTTTAATTTAAATAAAATGCGATTATGCAGAAGATATAATTAAAAATGTATTAAAAGGTATTTATAAAAAGGTAAAGGTACAGGTATAGGTGTATCAACAATACAAACAATTCCATGTCAGAATTATTATTTCAAACTCTTCCCGCACCGGTGCGGGAAAAAAGTCTTCCCGCACAGCAAATCGTGCGGGAAGAGCCATTTCCCGCACGCTCGTAGAAAAATAATTTTTTTACAAACAAATCAAAATCGGAAAAAGCCCAATCCTACAAACAGAGTCAAATTGAATTTCCCAACTTTTTTCTAACCAACATTGTAACTCCAGCCGTTCCCCAGATGCTAATGCTATCCAATCCTTATCTTGGACCATTGAGGTAGAATAATAAGGAGGCGACATGCCCAGAATTCCTATTCTGTGTCTTGAAAGGATCTCCTGTTTCAGGTTGTTGAAGTTTCTGTAACAACTTTTTTTTTTCTTGGTGTAATCTCGATTTTTTTACGTTTTTAGAAGAAAATTATAAAGAATTCATTTAGTTCGGCTCTGTTTAAGTAGCCATATTATTCCTACACTTAGCCACGCCTACCGATGCCCTTATCTATTGCACTGCACTATCCAAATCATGACAGCGTCTCCTTATTATTCTATCTCAATGTCTTGGACACAGTGTATAATACAGGGTGTCCCAAATTCGAACGCCAACATGGGGATATCGAAAACCGTTAGAGATACGAGGGTGGTTGAATTAGAAAAAAGTTATGCATTCATGTGCCCGCAACAATTTGCCGGTAAAAAATGAAAAAAAATAATAATAAATAAATAAAATAAGGTCCCTATTTGAAAGTTGATGATGGGCCTGAATAGACGAAACGCAGGAATTAAAATCTAGTAGCACCATTTCATATAGAGCAATAAGGTGAATAAAAATTTAAAACGAGAAATCAAAATTTTAGTTTTTTCAAAAAATCTCGAAAACCAGAAATATATATTTTTTAATATTTTGCCAGCAAATTGTTAGGCACATAAATGCACAAATTTTGTCTAATTTAACAACCCTCGTTTCTCTAACTGTTGCCTACCGATATCTCCATGTTGGCCCTCGAATTTGGGACACCCTGTAGATATGCAGACACCTTTTTTTTTTTCCTGTTTACATGACAAGTTGAAATTGAAATTAACCACTAGAAACTTGGTATCTACGTAATGAAATAATTTTCATTATTATCGAAAACGAATGAACCGATTTCAATTTTTTTCACATGATTATTTATAGCAAGCAATACGGAATTGGAAATGTGTTATCTCCAGAACGAGATAGAAGGGAACGGTTTTTCGAATATTACAATGGTGTACTTTCCTAGCCCGAACTAAATTGTTACGTCACAAGAAAATATTTTTTTGCGGTAGTAGTTGATTACATCCCAGAGTATCAGACAAAAATATCAGATTAGAACGGATTACGCAGCTCTCAATACTTCTATGGAAATGAACTAACCAGACAAAGAAATTACAGCAGTACAACTTTAACTTCAAAAGAAGACGTGCCTAAAAAAAATAATGGTTTCTTACCACGACATCAACAATATTAGAAATAATTTCTCCATCATATTCCACAGCAGGTATTAAGATGTCTACATTGACTTCAAGGGGCGAAGGTCCATTTTTGCCAATGGAAAATTGATGGACAACTTCCATATCTTCTTTGTATTTTTTAATGTCCAAGTCAATGTGATCAGGTACAGATTTTCTTCAAAAAATAAAACAGATAAATGACACTTTGGGAGACAACCTGGTCAACTTACCCAACAATATAGGGAAAACTGTCCAATACAACAGGTAAAGTGAGTTCACTTTTTTGATTGCTTCCTGGATTGTTTATACCCAAACTGCCTACTTCAGCTCTTATTTCGATGTTGCGTGTATTAGCAGTAATGTCTCGTATATCAAATATAAAATCTTGCTGCAAAATTTAACAGTTGTTCATCTTTATGCTTTAACTATAGAGTAATAAAGTAGGAGAGTGTATAACTAACTCACTTCAATAAATCCAACTAATTTTTCACTTATCAAGCACGTATAATTTGTGTCAGTGCTAATGCAATCTTTCAAGTTCCTTAGTTCAATTCCTATTGGTACCACTAGCATCACAACGCATTGGTAAGCTGGTTCACCGTTATTATTTACTAATACTTTCAGGTCTATTTGTTTATCTCCTCCTAGCACTAAAGTATCCCTTCAATAAAAATGACGTTCTAGGTAAAATTAATTTAAGTTTCATTATAGTTGATTTTTTCTGGGCTCGAAGTCTGTGGCCTTTTACCTTTCACTGAGTTTTTTATTTAGAGCCAAATTATGGACCGACTGGTAACATCTCTGGCAAAACCCTGCTGGTAAAACTAAAAAATTGAATGCAATTTTTAGTTTGACCATAGCAGGATAAATTTGCCAATAACGTTTTCAGTCGGTCAATAATTTGGCCTTTAGGAGTAAAATTAATTCTGGAAAAGATTTAAGTTTGGTTTAGTAGTTTTCCGTTCTTCCCTTGGTTTTACAGTTTTTGTGATTCCAAAGCTGGCCCACTTTTTATATGCTACCAGACAATTTATATTTGATAAAGATAGTCAGAACATCGACCGATATTGCAGTTATCTATTCTAAATTGTAATTCCTCTAATGCCCGGTTTCCGAACCATACAAGATATGTATTACATATTATGGAGATATAAATCGTGCAATATTAATAGACTTATTCTAACTTTATGTAACAGATATTTTATGGTTCGGAAATCGGGCATAAATGATACGGCTTCATTAATATATTTATATACCTGTTTGATTCAAGTCCAACGGATAAGTCTGTATTACAAATATTATCGTCACCACAACCATGTGAATAAGGAATGCGAACATCTATGGATTTCTCTCCATTAGCAATAATATCTTTAGTTATGGTTTCTAGGCGAAGATCTATTTGAAATGGTGATATATCCATCATTGTTTCCTTGAAAATTGAATTTATTATTTTCATTTAAAGCAAACTCAGTTGATAGTTAAATTATTGATAGGTACATTAACAGCTATAAGGTGAAAAATCTCTAACTATAATTTCCTAAAATCAACTGGGAAATTTTTGTTGGATTTTTTTCTTGTAACTACTCCACTGAGAACTTACTTTTAATTGAACACTATATTCCTTACATTGATTAGCTCCTAATTTCACAGTTAATCGATCAGCGACATTTCCTGTTAATGCACGATAATCCATATTTAATGACACCAAAAAATCAACATGTTTTAAAATATCTTTGTCACTTCTCTTCGTGTATAACAGGCAAAATCTTAAATTAAATTGTGAAGTATCGTTTTTAATAGAGCTGATGTCGGGGTGTAATAAAATTTGATAGTCGATAATGCTGTAACTTCTGACGATAAATACTTGGTCTGTTTTGTAAGCTCCAATTGCGATATCTGAAAATGAAATTTATGAGATCAGAGTTTGTACCTATTTGGATAATACCGTTGTGTCCATTTCCATCAGTGTCCTGTCCTTTGGAAATTCCCAATCCAAACCCCTTGACTATGGTTTGGCCGATATTGAAATCTCCGGGTGATAATCTTTGACTAAACTGATCAATTAACCCTTCTGCGCTGCCTTTATAAATATACACAGCTCCTTTGCCATCATCTTCGTATGGTGCAGAAATGGCCACATCTAAACCATAAATGAAAAAAATTGAGTAAGTAGGATACCTTTAGTATAGTGATCCTTTTTTAGATTGATTTTCGGATTTTTTTCAAATGCAATTTGGCTATCCTTTCTAAAAGCACAATTTAGCCAACTTCATTCTGTATCACTAGCTCCATAATCGCAAAATATACTTTCTCAACCAAACTTTACGAAAACTAACTCACCATTATATCCATCCAAGTCAAAGTCACCCAGCGAAACTATTGCTGATCCAAATCGACTGCCAACTTTTGATGAACCAGTCAGTTCAATTTTTCGTAGAAATGACTGAAATCGCACCACCTTGCATTAATCTCATTGAAAGGTGCGTGTACGTAGAGAATTTGCTATGTAAAAGTATTACATACTATATACTTCGAAATTAGCACATGGACTGTGAAATGAATTTTTATCAGAATTCAAATAAAGGTGAAATAATTGGGAATCAGAAACTGACTGTTTGCTTGCTTGATCTTTTGCTTGTTCCTTTGGGATTGACTATGGACTGTGCTTCCTTAACGAACGGCGACAAAGAAGAAGACCACAAATACAAATTTGATAGCGAGGGCGAAATCGATTACTTCTATTACATAGTAACATCTTAGGTTTCTTATTCTAACTTCCATAATATGATGTAATGATCCGGAAAAATAATCCCGATATAATAATCAAAAATTGAATTTCCGGTATTTCAAATCAGTATCGATAAATTGAAAATGAAACAAATTAGCGTTGACCCCAAATTAAATTAAAATATTTATATACGTTAAAATTCTATTATTTAGTCACCAAGCGTGATGTCATCTCCTAAAATCAAATCAATGAACTTATTAAAAGCGAGGCCAAAGTAATTAAATCGGTGGTTTATGGCTCACGTGTGTCGGTCTTCTTTGTGTTGTCCCCACATTCTTGAACCAAAATTTGTTGACCCCTATAAACCAGGAAATTGCGACATAATTATTCGATTTTAAACAAATAAAAATGACAAAAATTTCAAATGATTGCATCATCATCTTTTGATAATATCTAGGTCGACCAATAGAATTGACTTATTGATGGTTAAACAACCGCCTATTGTCGATTTTGGTGGATAATTAATAATACTTTGGAGAGGAATCGAAAAAAATATAAAACAGGCGGTTTAAGAAATGGAAATCAGTTGTTAGTTGAGTTTAAGTTCAGTCCAGTTTGAGTTAAAGTCTACAGTACCTAATGTGTCAGTCCGGGTAGCATGGAGGTAAGTAACACCCATTTGGCTCACGTTCGCAAATTTGAATGTAACAACCGATATCGCAACGGATAGTTTCTTTATCAGGTGTTACTTACCCTGGACAGATTTGCATTCACAAAATGTTTAAAATAATGCCTTTATCAGATAGTATAGATATAATATTAGTTTTTAATGTTTCAAACTTTCTGTATTTTATTAATTCGCTGGTTGATTCGTCTAGACTAGATGAAAATAAAACTGAAAATACTTCAGTTATTTATTTACTTATTTTATGAGTTAAGAAACTCACAACTCTGTGTTTTTATACACCAAATAGAAATTAAGAGTCCTCTGAATAATTTCGGCAAGTTGACAACATTGCCTGTTACACTGCTTGCTGCTGTAGCGTCGGTGTCCGAATTTTGTTCAGACAAAAAAATTTCTGGAAGACGTGCATTTGCATAGTATGCTTTCTATATTAGTTAAAAAATGAATAGTGTTTTTATGCCAGAGGATTATCCATATACAGTGTCCCCCACCCCATAGTGTTCGCTACATATGGGGAAATTTTTTATTTGTAGGATATGGAAATTACGAACGCACAGTATAATTATATTAATATAACAATATTAATTATATTTTGCACTTATATAAAGTCCATTCCAAAATAATTCGTTGACTCTTCAAGTATCAATAAAATGTTGATGATACCCTCAACCACAAACTTCGACTACCTGTGAGCAGGTCCGGGTTGATTTTATTTATTATACCTGCCTAGGTGAGATGTACATGTAAATGTGGGTGAATGTTTTAGTTAAATTATTTAGTCTTTGTGCAGAACTAGAGCTTATTATACAAAGAAAGATCTTTTAAACGTTTTGAAATCATATAATGTTAAAAAAGAATATATTTGTGACGATCTTGCTAGCGCTTGTGGTCATACAGTTTTGCGTCTTCCTCCATATTATTGTATTTTCAATCCAATAGAACATATCTGGCATGAATTGAAGGCAATGGTTAGGAGAGGAAACACCTCTCCTACACTTAGTACTGCTGTAATAGATTTAATTAGAAAATGTGTAGATAATATTCCAGTTCAAAGCTGGAAAAATTCTGTCAATCACGTTATAAAAGTTGAAGAAACCTATAATTCAATAGGTATTAATGTTAAGCCATTAATAATTAGTTTAGGCATAGATGAAGATGACAGTGACAGTGAAACGGAACTAAATATAGATTAGGTTTGGTTGAATTGTGTATTGTATTATATTGTATTAGATATTAAGTTTTGGTAATTATTAAGATAGTATAAGATTATAACATAAATAAATAATATTATGAAACGCCTTTTTCGTTTTCATTATAATGGGCACAAAATCCGTACCTGTAAACCTTTGAGTGGGTATTAAGGAACCCGCTACCTACATAAAAGAACCTGGTACCCACACAATAGAGGCTAATAGCTATCTAATTTATGGTAGGGTTTTATAGCCGTGAAGTCAACGAAATATTTTGGAATGGACTTTACTCATGTTTTGATATTATTTCAATGCCCTAAAATAATTATTTACAAGATAGGTAATAGGCTGAATAACGAGGGTAAGTAACACCCGATAAAGCGCACGTCCATGCAACCACGGGTGTTACATTTCAAAAACCGAACCGTTGTCGAACGGATTACCGAATGCTAAATAGGATGTTACTTACCTCCATGCGTCCGGGTAAAATTCGCGAAAGTTTCCTATAAGGCCTCGGGGAAAACAGGTTTAATTTAACTTAGCAAAAGGAAAATTGTGAAAGAAATAACATTTAAAGTCATTCAACATTATGTGCGTGCTCTATAGATTTTTGAAGTAAATTAAATTAAGTATTTTATCGAGTGACAATTTAAATGTAAGTAGTACTTTAGTGATTATTATTGTTTTTCTGACTTTTAACAATGATTCTGAACGATAAGAAGTGAATTGACAATGACTTTTTAATGCATAAAAACTTGAGTGATTTTGACTGGAAAAACTGTATTGCATAACTTAAATTGCTTTCGAGTAATGACATTTTGATTTAATTTTGCAAAGAATTAACAAAGGGGAAAATTATAATGCTCCTGACAATATACGATTTTGAGTAGGAGTTATTGATTAAATAATTGTGTTTATTGACTAGGAATCCGAAAACAGTAATTGTTCTGATTAAATAAACCATTAAATAAAATGGAAGTTTCGAAAAGTAACTTGTTGTTCTTCATGAAATAAAATTGCTGTCGATAATCATTAAAAGTATTGGAAGGTTTTTTTTTTGAAATTTGTTGTTCATGAAGAAACATTGATAATCTTAAGTGCTGAAATTTTGAATTAGGTTTTGTTTTATGTAGAAATTATTGTAAGATTTCTATTAAAATATAGTGAGTCGGATTATGACTTGAAGTTTGCATAAGCAGTCAGTAAAGGACTTAGGATTTTTAAAATAGATATAGGTGAAGGTTAGTTTAATAGGAATGTGAATCGGCAGTGTTGTAATGGATAAACTTATAAGTTATTAAGAATAGTAGAAGTAGGGCGTTTCTTTTTGTATGGATATTTCCTGGTCCTAATAATGAAATTTGAACGGATGTGAAATAATTTGAATTGGGAAAAATAGAAGTGGTTGTCAGAATAGGAAGATATTTTGCTTATTTAAATTTTTGGTCTTAAATATAATAAAATATAATTTAGTAAACCTTAATAGTTTGTTTCTCTCTTTTGCGAATAGACCCCTCCACAATTTTATAGGTAGCAGCTCCAAGAAAATAAACACCATCAATATATCGCTCGCCATTTACCATCTAACTAATTAAATAGAGTACTTGGGGTGTTTTGCTACAATAACGTTCAACTATAGCTATAAAGTTGAAATCACTGTTCTTTTTTGTAGTTTTCAAAAAAAAAACTCACGTCAAGTTAGACCATCAACGACTCATTTGTAGTTTGAACCCCAATCCAAAGCTTCGACGACTAAATAAAGTTCTGTATTCATCACTATATAGTTTCGATCATTAAGAAAACTAGCAATCATGGATAATCAAAATTACCTTAACATTCCAAGATTTATTTTGGCGAGTTTGATTCCCGGTTATTTCAATTTCTTATTTAAATTCCAATAAAAATAGTTACGCCTAACTTTTGTTTTATACGTGGAAGGTCGCAATAATAGTTTCGTTTAGCAAATTTTCTACATTCACGCTCATCAGCCACTATTTAGTATTCACCTTTTCATGTAATCCCCTGTAAAAGTAAACACAGCCTTCATCCCAACTTCTCCCTTTGGTCATGGGTGCTCCCACTAACATATTGACTATACCATCATTGCTGACATCTAATGGTAATACTGAAGCACCAAAATACGAACCCATTTCATCGCCATCAAAGCTTGTCACAACGTTTATTTTTTCTTTGGCACCTACGTCGTAGTAGTAAATGGTTACCTAACATAATTATTAACATTTATTGGAATTTTTTTGATGTTAAACACACGCGAAGATACGTGTCAAATTTGAGACTTGGGCTTGAATAATATTACCTTTCCTTTTAAATTATTTGCTCGTGGTGCTCCTGCTACAAACCAAACGTCTTCACTGTTTGGTGAAAATTTAGCTGTCGCAACTGAATAACCTGGAAATTGAAATGTTTGTGAATCAACTTGGTAAAATCAATGGAATTTTCTCACCAAAGTAAGTATCATCGTCGTCAGGATTCGGTAACGATCTGTAGGGTAGCATACTTACTAATCTTGAGTGACGTAGTGAATATGAAATAGTTACGCCTGTGAATTAGGGTTTTAAATATTATTATTATTTTTTTTTTCTATGTAATTTCTGTCATTCTTACCGTTGAACTTTTTAACTCCTGGAGCACCAAATAGTACATCGTTCTAAAAAAAATTGATTTCATTCTATGTCCACAGCTATGTCCTTACAATTTAATTATACCGGGTGTCCCACTAAGGTCGGCAAGGTACGATATTATGAAAATCATAGACCTTACGGCTTCGGGATTTTTTTCTTGTCCACCAAATCGGCCAAGGGGCCAAGAGAAATTGATGGAAATTATTCTCAAGTTACGTAAGGTCTATTGGTTTCCGTAATATCGTACCTCGTCGACCTTAGTGGGTTACCCGTATGTATTTTGATTGACCCTTCAGCGATGTCGTTCGCTCTGCGATATATATGAGAAAGTGGAACTGCCGTTCGTCCATATTTTTTTTGTCAAATAATAGTTATTTATGATAAGAGTGTTAAAAGTACATTTTTTTTAAGGCACGCATGTGCGCTTCGCTCATTCTGCAATTCACATAAGTTCACATACCGCCCGTCTCTTTTACGAGATAAATCACCTAGAAGTAGGTATTTATTATATTCACCCAACAACTATATTATTACCATTACTTATTACCAAAATCGGTATGGATAACCATGAAAAATATAAAAGTCATTGATTCTTGGAAAATTTGCAGATACATAAGTTGCCAATTTTTCAGTGGAAACGCGCCTTTATATAAAGGGAAAGACAGATTATTTTTGAAAACAATGTCAAATGGATGCCATTATACAGGGTGTTCTATCGGGAACCAAATCTATCTTTACATGAAAAACTGTATGCAGAAAATTTTAAAAAATTTGACAGCATACTAATGTCAATGGGGGCAAACCGGCTAAAATATTTTCAAGATAGTGGAATTTCCGGTTATAGCGGAAGTAGATGTCAATTTGCTTATTTTAAATGAGACACCCTGTATGTGATTACATATTTGGATTCTACGTAAACTTCTGAGCAGATCTTATGTGATATACCCTATAGGTACCTAAGTTTAACTGTTTTGGAAATATTGACATTTGAAAATTGACTTTTTGCAGCTTTGACAGGCTGTAAAACCTAAACGGTTAATTTTAGAGAAAAACTATCATTTGACACCAACTTTGAATTTAATCAATGATCAAAAATTATTAAATTAAATCTCCGGTTAAATTATAAGTTGGTGTAAAATGATAGCTTATGAAAATCTAAGATAGGAATGTAAAATCAGGTTTCCTCTAAAATTAACCGTTTAAGTTTAACAGCCTGTCAAAGTTGCAAAAAGTCAGTTTTCAATTGTCAATATTTCCAAAACAGTTGAACTTAAGTACCTATAGAGTATAGCCGCTTTCCAGCTGACCATTTTGAGCACGCAATCGAGCTTTTGCGCGCGCAGATGCTTTAAGCGCATGTTCGTGTTCCAGCCGTACTGCGCTTCGACAGCTGCTAACTTTTGCGTTTCAAACGCAGGACACTGTTCTGCACCGTGCTTAAAGCACACAGCTGGAAAGCGAATATGCAATCATATACAGAGTGTCTTATTTAAAATAAGCAAGTTGACGTCTTGACGTTTGCTTTCAAAATTTGATATTTCATTTTCAACACCAGTGCTATAAAGACTTTATGGTACCAGTGCCATAAAGTAACATTTTTAATACGCGGAGGGTGTTGAAAATTGAATTTTTAACATGTTCGTAGAAAATAGTTATTTATGATATAAGTGCTAAAAGTGACATTTTATTTTGTGAAAAGGGAAGTTTGGGACACGACGCCGAAGGCGGAGTGTTCCATCTCTTTGAACAAAATAAAATACGGATATCATATACTATTTTTTTCTACAAAAGCACTAAAAGTGATTACTTTTAGCACTCAGTGCTAAAAGTAATCACTTTTAGCACCAGTGTCATAAAATGGCATTTTAGACACTGACAACATCCGTTATAAAAATGACACTTTTAGTGACGTTTGTTGAAAAACATAATTACCTACATAATAGAGCCTCATGCTCTAGCGAATGTTTTTCTTTGCGTCATCACTATAGTTATCCAGTAATCACGCAAAGAAGAAAACGCTAACCAAAATATAGTCGTTTATTTAATTATCAATGAAATGTAATAAATCACTGTTTGAATTTTGGGACCCCACAATTCGGAGATCCGACTTCACTAGTGTAGCAATGTCGCAATCAACTCCCAAGATAAAAAAAAAAAAAACAACAGAAGGCTGTGTGCTGTGTTGTTTGCTTATTTGCATTCTCAGGACATCAAAGTGTAAAATGGCACTAAAGACAATAAGCCTTTGAAGACGAAGAAGTGTGAACGAAGAGCTGACTGGAGATGCCACTACGCAGCAGGAGATTCTAAATACCCTTGAGCAGCTACACAGGGAATATTCTAGAATGAGTAGCAAAAACAACCTGCTATGAAAATCTCCACCACTCTCCAAAGTCCCCTTCCGAGACGTAAATGAGTGAGAACGCCCCTGGAGCCAGATACAAGAGAACATGGAGTCAGAGCATGGGCGCCGCCAGGATTGGTTCCAGGGAGGTGCATACAGGCAGTGCCGGCGCGTGGATTATCCTATTGGTTCAAATACCTTATTTAAGAAGGTGGATGCCAGCCGGAGGCGCAAAAATTTTTCCGTTTGCCAAAAACGGTTATTTTGAACTTCTAAAAATAGTACACAGGGTGTCCCACGACGTTTTTCCCAGGTACTAACTTCGAAACGCGTCATCCAATCTAATTGAAATTTTGAGAATCAGTGTAACTTTTTGTGCCGCTACTACCATTGTCATCCAATTTCACCACTTCCGCTTCAATATCGGCCGAATGATGTCAACTTCCGAATCTTAAATGTAACTTATGGTATATTATGGCATTTTTCATTAGAAAATTAAATTGCAATATTGGCAATGCCATATTTGTTAAGGCTTTGTCAAAGAAAATGATAAAAAATTATACAGTGGAACATGCGATGATGCGTTCCGAAGTTATCATTTTGGGAAAAACCTCGCGGGACACCCTGTATACCTGTAGAGACGTTGGTCATTATATACCGAGCACTTATATAAAACGAGGCGCGAAGCGCCGAGGTTTATAATGCGTAAGGTATATAATGACTTTCTCTACCGAGGAATATATAGAATTTTTTTTACTTCTGCTAGTGGAAAATAAAAAATTAATTTGACATCTGTGCCCAAAATATTTTTTCTTGTCGGAAGTGCTGCCCTATATCAACAGCTTATGATAATTTTCTATGATGTACCATCGTCACCAAAAGTAACTGGGACAGCATCATATTAGCTCCTGTACTATTATATGAATTTTCTTGTCAAATATTTGTCATACTATGAATCAAATGCATTGAAATGAATAGTAGAATTAGTTCAGGAGATTATTAGCATTATTTTTGTCCCAGATACATTTGGTGACGATGGTACATACATACAGGGACGTGTTTTTTGTTTTTTTTTTTAATAATTGACAGTTTGAAATTGAAATTAAACCAATAACAACCTGTTACGTTATGACAATATTCTTGCGACATGACGTCATTTTCATTATTGACCTAGGTTTTTTTTCATTATTTTCATTATTAACATGGTGAGAGAAATCCAATTTTTTCCCAGAAAAATAGATTGAATAATGTCTCAGTAGTAAAATAATAGTATCTACATTATATACCTAGGTAGAGAAGTTGGTCATTATATACCGAGCGCTTTTATAAACCGAGACGCGTAGCGCCGAGGTTTATAATGCGTAAGGTATATAATGACTTTCTCTACCGTGGAATATATAGAATTTTTTTTACTACTGCTATAGTAGAAAATAAAAAATAAGTTTGAAATCTGAGCTCAAATTATTTTTTCTAGTTGAAAGTGCTGCCCTCTATCAACATCTATGGTAATTTCCTATGATACATACAGGAACCTGTTTTTTTGATTAAATTGACAGTTTGAAATCGAAATTAAATCAATAGAAACCTGTAACGTTATGACAATATCCTTGCGTCATGACGTCATTTTCATTATTGACCTAGGTTTTTTTTCATTATTTTCATTATTAACCTAGGGAGAGAAATTCAATTTTTTCCGAGAAAAATAGATTGAATAATGACTACTTCTCAGGTACGCCCCGTGGATTCCAAACGGGAATCCACGGCCTGGGCCCTTATTCTGTAAGGAAAGAACCGTTCGATTCGGTAGAATTTCTTCGATTGTGGCGTCATTTTCGGTTTGGTAGCGCGAAAACCAAACTGAAAATGACGTCACAATCGAAGAAATTCTATCGAATCGAACGGTTCTTTCCTTACAGAATAAGGCCCCTGTCGACCAATCAAATTCTCCGTATTTTCGGAATACACGGGCCGCAACGAGACAATACAAACAAAACATCACTGACGTCTACTGTCAGATCACGAAACTTTCAAATTAAAAAAAATTGAGGCGGGTTTAAACTTTTGATGATTGTTATTTCTTACAAAAACTAATGGCGTTTCCGATTGGTAGATTCAGTGTGCACTGAGTGTATTTGCATCCTTTTAATCGACCTGTAGAAGAAAAAGATAGAAATAGAAAAAACTGCACTAGTTCCGCACTAGATCTACCAATCGGAAACGCCATAATGATTTTCTTTAAAAAAGTTCGAAGAGAAAGTATAGTCTTCTACTCGCAAATAATGGCTATTATTCACTCGAATGATTGAATTTTCATTCTCGTGAATAATAGCCATCATTATATGCTCGTTGAAGAATATACTATTATATCAATAAACTATAAATTAAGTAAATTCGAAATTCCCGCCATTCTACAGGTCGATGGCGCGCGGAATAAAAATAAGCCCGAAGTGACCCGAAGACTGTCGCGAGAAACAAAGAGAGCGGGGGGCCATCGTCTCTCGTTTCACCAATTTTTTCAAACAGTAACTTATTTTACTTATTATTAAAAAAGGATTATTAATAAAATAAAAAATAATTTTTTCAATGTATTTCTGACAGGGGGGTGCAAGTGCACCCCCTTGCACCCTGCTGCCGGCGCCCATGAGTCAGAGAACTCCAGCTAGGAGGAGGCTTCGACGCACC